ATAAGACATACTTTGATGTTGAAAATGATACTAAAACTGTAGCACTTCTGTTCACAGAAGTGATTTTCTTATTTCTATCATGAATACTATGCACCTCTTCTTCGACTACTGGACTAATAGCAAGGCCATCTTGTTCCCAGTGGATGAGGTATCTAGTAGAAACTTCTATCCTTTTCACTTTATACAAACCAATGGAATTACATATTGAGACAGCATTACTAGAGAAGGCAGTTGAGAAGTTCAGCCTGCAAGAAAACAAGCATCCCATGTCAGCAACTGACAGTAAAATCACATGTCTAACCCAAAAATTTTCTAATCTATAAGAAAACTCACCTTTGCCCATTGACTTTAATAACAAAAATCACTGTTTCATGCTACAAATTTTTAAACCTAAGCAAAAGTCTATCCTACCTTGTTACAGAATCAATATGACATGGAAAGGTAGGAAATTTCAAAGCATTTCACGTTTATATCACTAACTGATTAAATAAATCACCATATTAACATCTACATTCACCTACAAGAAGTTTTTAGAATGCAAAATTAAATAAATAACTTCACAAACACGAATTAATAAAAAAGTAAAGGTATAAGTAAAGTTGTCCCATATTGTGTGGGGCATCATGCTAACCACATATACCCATCTAGTGCTGAGATCAAGAATGAGTAGGAGCTAACCCTTCTCCCCCCCCCCCCCTATGCTTCCATGGTATGCAGTGGGGTAGTATTATCAGTAACTCTCCAATGAGAAAGTTGATAGTACAGGCAGGTCAATGCTACATAGTCTGAGCTACTGAAAAAGTGTCATTAAATAAATAAATATACAGGCAGAATACGTAATGTTTATTCTGCTAATGTCTTCACAAGACTTCCAGTCCTACAAAATCTGTTAACTTAAAACTACTAAATTCATAGTACAAACAGGTTCAATGTCTGCTGAGTTATACCTTGAAAGAATATTGAACATTGCATATTTTTAGCAACTGTACTAATGAAATTATTGAGAATGATGCACTTATTCAATTCAATTCTTTATTATTAGTGTGCTGTATCAACAGCCTGAAGGCCAATTACAGATAAAGCACAGAGATGAGCACACAAACACAATAGAAACATAAAAGGTAAAACAAGCAGAATATAAAATACATTAATATGGAGGATGTTAATACACAAGAAAATTGCAGCTAGATATATTAGCATATTTGTAAAAATAATTTAAATCAATTAAGTAAATTATACTATTATAGAATGTGAAGAAATGTGACAATTTTCTTCTTGAATATGTCCAAGTCCCTGCAGACAACATTAGCAGCTGATGCACATCTATCAGAAGGACTGTTTTTGATCAAAGGGCTAAAACTGAATACAGAAAATCTCTCAGATTCCGAGCAGGGATGCGGAGACCGACAGCTTCCAGAAGGGAAGGACAGCATTTATGCTGAATGTTATAACTTACCAAAGATGCAGTTGTCCCTACCAAGATAATAGGGTGTTGAGCTTCTACTGAGGATGTAATGAACTGTAACTTTTCCAGAATTCCTACCACCTAAAAATATTATAAACTCAACAATGCAAGACGTAGGATAACGCTTACAGTAAAGTGACTGCCACATGTTGGAAGACCGGGGATCAATTTCAGGCAGGTACAGAGTATTATCATCATAACAACATTCAAAAGTGAGACCCACCGAGTCTCCTATACAATGATACTAAGAACTCTTATGAACCTGAAAGTAAAAACAGCCACAGCCTGAAGCTGCCAACTCACCTCTATCTAGTTTACAGGTTAAGAAAGACAGAGTGTTTTTTTTTTCCACTCACACTATACTCCTTCATGACATGGTGCTTAAGCATGGGGACAACTTTACAATTTACTTAACAAACTAAACATATACAATATCATAAATTACTTAAGTTTGTTTAAGTTTAAATGTACCTTGGTCCTATCTCAATAAGTAAACTGCCATGATATACTCCATGTAGATTAGGTTCTGCAGTGAGATTCTGAGATTCCAGAGGGGAACCAAGAATCCACTCTGTCTTCTTGAATTCAGAATTTGAGAGTGTAGATGTAGTCTCCACATTGAAACATAATTCTGTCTCCAAGTCATGTACCAATGGGGTATGCTGTCTGAGCTGCCTTAACTTTGTAGCAGTAGCCGCAGAGCTCAGTCCGGGCTTTCGATAAAATCTATCAATCACCATATTCAATTAATCTGTGAAAGTGATAAACGCATGAACCAACACCTTAAATTATGAAGAATTAACAAAACTATGTATTCTCTTGTTAAGCTGTTAAAATAATTGATTAAAATAAAATTCACTGTAGAGTATGAATGCTGATTACTACAGCTGGTATCTTATACTGACTGACAAGAATGGCAACCAGAAATATAAGGGTTATCAAAGAAGGTTTCAAAGTATCGTCACAGGGAGACATAAAGAGATAAAAGTGCATGAACTTTGACATCGTTAAAGAAAAAGCAACTATTACGTACAGAATGACACAATTGTTGGCTGATAACTTTACACAGAACTCAACGCAAAGATACAAATGCTGATAACAGTTGCGAGTTAATGGCCAAGCATATATGTGTATTCCATCATCACATTTTTCCAACCACAAAAGGTGGGCCGCACCATAACATAGGTGTTAATTGGCCAGATTCTCATGAGAGAGGCTTGGGTTTGTTCCCAGGACAGTTTACATGGGATATGTGATAGACAAAGTGGCACTGAGACAGGTTTTTCTGTCTTTTGTCCTTTTCCTGCCAACATCATTCCACCACTTTTCCACATTCACTCATGTATCGTCTGGGGAATGAACAATGGGCCTGTTAGTGGCCATAGTTCCACAGAGACACAGTTACATGCCATTGTAACAATAAAAAAAACTACAAAAATATTAAATTAACCATTTTTCTTTGCAAAAATTACTATTAGAAACATGGACTGCAACAAACAGTCACCAAATATATTTCAATCAGTGCGCTCACTTTCTGGATCAGTTAGTAGAATGCCTTGGTCAGTAGATGGTAAGGAAATAAATAAATGATTACAAAACACAAAGGAAATTGTATGAAGGGGCATATGGCTTTTGCCTGGAGAGTATACAGACAAGTGTCGGTATAGCACCACACTATGCTCATCATGTGAGTTGTCACACCATGTGGATTGTTTCAGAGGGCTGAAGATGGAGGCAGCTGTTATCTACCCACAAGCCCACATGGCATTACAACACTGACATATTCTGTGCTGTGAGAACCTCAAACCTCATTCACATAATTAATTCACTCTCAGAATTTCCACTATTACCAATAAATTCCTAATTACTGAACCAATTACACTACATCCCACATTAAAAGAATAGGTCACTGGTTATCACCACAGGGGTTTATCTTTAACAATATCAATTGATGTAATAATTAAAATACAAAAGTCAAATTGCTTTTTAAGTCGCATATTCCAAATACATCATGAGGAAGAAATGTTTCAGTGGAACATTCATTGATAATGTACAAACTAAACAAAACATGTAACTGCTTCTACATATCTCGGCGACAATTTATGCACGTAGGCCATGTGGTAACCTGTAAACTCACATTTCAGTATAACTAAATGTAAACTGTAGTCAGTAAGGCATGCTTTACAAATATGTGGACTTGGTAAAACATATATGTAAAAACTACTTTTTTATGTCATGTCCAAGAAAAAATCCAAAAGACAAAGACTGGGAAATTTAAAATAATCCGATTACAATCCATGTATAATTTTGGTCTGCATAATAATTACACATATATATTATATTGAAGATAATTACACATTCTTTTATGTGTGTTGTGGTCGTAACAAACCAAAGTATTGCAAACCTGCAATGTTTATAAGATACCTATTATTTAACCCAGGAACATGAATCACCTATCAACTTCATATTTGAAGTTTTTAAACTTAAAGTTGTCTCTCTGTGATATCAGGATTTTTACATTATTTCTTTGTGCAATGCGCAACCATGCCATCTATGATCAATTGTATACAAACACAAGGCGAAGTGATGCATTGGCGTAATCGAAAACAACAAGAAGGTAAACAACTTTGAAATTTTAACTGACCACACACCAACTGTGCCACTGGTCATTTTTATTATGTAGGGTTTGAGGTTTACGGCGCAACTGAAGACAGCAATCTTTATATGTATTATATTTACTGAGGGATTCTGTAGTGTTATGGTCTGTTAATTTTAGGTTAACTGTCAATAAATATTGTCATATTGTAATTGGTGCGTAATCTACATGTGGCACAGGAAAAACAAAATTAATCATAATTGGTAAGTAACGTATCCAAGTACCATACGCATTTCAGTTTTTATATTAGGCTTCTTACAGCGGGATCTGTGCTTTCAGTGTTATTAATTTAATTACAAAATTTAGAGTGCATGTAAACTTTAGGTAAGCATTAATTTTAGATGCCACAACCTGCCATATAAGTTTCCTTATTACCATAAAATCTTATAGCTTGGGTCAGTGCATTATAGAAATACTAAAGACTTGTAACGAATGCAACCTGTTTATAATTAATAACAGATAGTTGGGTTCATAGATTAATCTTGCATTCACAAATACAGTTCTCATTTGAAACCATCAGGGTTCTGTGTAACTACTTTTCCAATCTGAGCTTCATATTTTTTTAATACATCTTATGAAGACATCTTCAGCAGTAGTTTGTACATGCTAGAATTTTAATGCAGCATTGTTAAAGTACTGTTAAATGGTCCATTTATTAGCTTTGGATTTTACAGATTCACTTTGCCAGTTCTTTTATACTATCTTCAAATCATGTTTAGTGTACAGTTTTCCTTTCCTTTTCAGATCTTTGTCCTCTCTTATTGGCCACTATTTCTCATAATGCTTGTATTGTGTAATTATATTCTTATGTTAGTAGCTAGACCTGATAAATTCAGTGCAACATTCACTAAATTTTATGTTTATGTAACTGTAATTATTATATTATTTGATAGTGTATGTACAGGCTGTACCATTTAAAATGCAGTCTGACAACAAGCATGTGCAACTAAATAGAAATCAGATGCAGGTCCACCCCTGTGTAATAGACTCTCCCAGCGTACCCCATGCCAAAGTTTCCCTGGTTGCTAGGCCACTGCTTACACCAGACAAACAAAATATATGTAGGTGTTAACATTATTTATTCATGAACAGAATGTGTTCATTCTCAAACATCACTTTGCATGAAATGTTTTGCTGTTGTTCATGAAGCATTTAGCATTGTGTTTCCTGACAGGAAAGTATCGAGTAAGACAACAATATACCAACTAGTAACAACTTCTCAGAACACAGAAGGTGTTTGCATGTGACAAGTGATTATTGAGTTACAAAATGGCTTTAATTATGGTCACACCAATTTAAAGCATTATATCAGCTGCAACAGTAGGGTGCAAAGAAAGAATTCAATATTTCCATCTGTTTAACTGTTTTGTGCATGAAAGGGTTCACATGTAGTAGTTATGGTTGTGTTTTAAGTGGGACATTCCATTCATTTAAATTGTTAATGACATACAATAGAAAAGCTTATTATAAATGAAATGTAAAAATTTTCTGTGCATGAAAAATAATTCTGTAAAACCAGTGATTCAACAAACCACTAGAATAAGGTTAGACTAAATTACCTTAGATCTAGAGAGAGTAATTGGATTTATCAGTGGATATAACTAAATGTATTATAACAATTTAAAGATGTGGTTTATATTAAGTGTGTGTTATTTATAAAATTAATTTCTTATTGTTACAGAATTTAATAAACAGTTTCTACAGAATGATATATCTGTTAAGTCTCAGACAGTTTTGCAAGGTTTAGCTGTAACAGAACAGCTGAAGTTGACTGAAGGTGAGTAATATGAGTTTTAAATAACTCTTTTTAAGTATATATCTTCTTCTTCCTAAGATGTTTTACACATTCTGAGAATCATTGGTCTTTGTGTGTGTGTGTGTGTATGTATATATAAAAACTGCACAGTAATTTATTTATTTATTAATCTGTACACTTGTTTTAGAGTCAGTAATTTTTGTTGTACTTTTATGAATCACTGTCCTAGACAAGGAATTGCAGAGACATGTTATGGTTAATCATGAAGATCTTTCACAAGCAAGATGGGTTGAAAAACTGGATGGGGTGCTTGCTGTTATGCAAACACTTGTCCAGATAATTAATTTTAGGCAACTTATTGAATGGGTGGTACTGCTTCCTTACTTACTTACTACTTACTGTGCAAGGGTGCAAAAAAATTGCTCAAATTTTGAATGTACATTTAAAATTCGTGCACACGTCTGACTGCAGCACGCCTAGCATTGGCACGGTATTCACCAGTACATTGCAGCGCAGAGCATTTTTAAATAAGATAATAATAATATTCCATGGCATAACAGCCCTCTGAGAGGCAAAGCCGACTGGCAAATAAAATTGTAAAATTTTCTTCATGCCTATTTTCATTCCTTTTAAATTTATTTCCTTCTTATAGAGAAAATATTTAATATTAATTTATGCTTTTTACAGTTAAGATGGAATGTAACCAAATTATATCTTTGAGTAATTCTCTTTGTATTATTTTGACGTAAATACGTCTATATTGAAGGGTCATTTCGGCAAAAAAGGGAAACGAAAAAGTGTAACCCGGTTACCTAGGAAACGTCGTGTTTATTCGGCATTATTGTTACCTACGAAACATAATCTGTTTACTCGGCATTATTGTTACCTAGGAAATGTTACATTACATTACTCGGCATTGTTGATACCTAGGAAATGTCATCTGTTTACTGGGCATTGTTGTTACCTATAAAACATTACATTACCTTGCCTTACCTTACATAACATTACCTTAACTTACCTTACCTTACCTTACCTTACTTTACATTACTTTACATTACATTCAGCTACCACAGACCCATCTTAAGCGTAACTAATTCAAGTTAAATAAGTAAAGTCTTAATCAAACTTCACTCAATTGTAAAGCATGTATAAAGGAAATATTTAGAATAAAGCCAATATATAAACTTCCTTTCCGTATAGATGTATTTACATCTAATTCTCCGGAACCGTGGTTCCACTATCACTTTTTTAACTAAAAAGAATGTGTAAATATAGAAGGACAATGGCCAGCTTTTATATGAACATGTGTGTGTACAACAATTTAATAAGAAGTATTGGAATTTCTAAACCACACCTGCAACAAGGTTCATTTCTCATTTCTTATGCATGCAGTATGATAGACTGAATAAACCGTATTGCAATCCATTCCTTTACTAATTGTTACATCATATGTTTACTCAGCGTTGTTATATTTCATTAGTATATATTGGCGTCAACAATCCGCTTTCGTCATTGTGGAAAGAGCTGAGCTGTGAATCGCTTGTAGGAGAAGTTTGTTGTAGACGAGATACTTTTGTGCTTTTACAAGTCTTTCACAATAACCAAAGTACGTACTTATCTTCTGTGAATTACTAAGAAATTCATGACTGTCCTTCACTCTATCCATTTTATTTTGCCGATGGACATTGAGGTCTCTTCGTCTTGAAGAAAGAGTGGGGCAAGTGCATCCTATTTATTATTATTATTGCTTATAACATTTACAGGTTTTCATTTACATTTGTGAACTCTTGGAAGAGAATTAGGCTTGTCTTCTTTCTAACACAAATTCATTGTTTTATTCCATTGACTTCTGTTTGTTTACGTCATCAGTTATAATAAAAGAATTCCGTTAAACAGTGTGAGATTCGAATTTCTAAGCAACAAGACATGTTAGTAGCCTTACTTCCACCGCTTAGAAGCGGATGTCCACTTCCGGTCTAAACATGTGCTAAAATGTTAATAAATTGATATAGTATAAGGCTCATAACCTAATGAAGAGTAAAGATTAAATTTACAAAATTAATTATGTAAACTAAACTAAAGTCAGATGCCCAGTTACAATTCCTTTATGGAGTAAACAATAATTGTTGTGTCATAGTTTTCGTCGGAATTGTATTAGTATATATTGATGTCAACAATCGGAAAGAACAGTTATAAATAGCTTGTAAAAGTATTGTGTGGTAGACGAGATACTTTTGTGCTGTTAAAAACCTTTCATAATAACCCAAGTACTTTTCTTATATAAAAATTATTAAGAAATTTGTGACACTGTCCTCCAGTCCTCCATTTTGTTTTATTTTTGATTAAATTGTTTATTG